CTATCACTGCTTTCCCCTTCTAAGGATAAGATTGTACCTGATTAGTGATGTTCAATTTTTCACAAAGATGGTGAATGTCATCTTAAAATCTATTGGAAATAGGGTTTATATTTAGATTTATATAACTAGTTATACGACTATATTTAAATACTGAGGAAATCTCTTCATTGTCTCAGAACCAAGCAAGACTCATCCTTTTTGTGTTCGTTGGCCTCTTAAAAGAAGGACTGAAGATAAAGTAGCAATGTCTACCTTTATATTTTTGGTCTTAACTATGCCAATCTAATTAGAATTCCCTATATCTAAAAATGCTGTCTTTTACTTATTAAAACATTTTTTAGTGTGGTTTATGTATAATATCAAATAAAGGCTATTTAATGCTTCTCCATTTTTATAGGTGATCTTTAAGGTCAAGTGCTTTTAAAAGTTAGTGTGACAGGAAAGAGTAGCAAGTTAACCTTTACTTTTGAACTCTTTACTATCTAAGTCGGACTTAAGTTATAACTTAGGATTGTCTTTAAACAGCCACCAAAAACACATAAAACCATGGAACTACTATGTATGTGTGATTGGGAATGGTGCTTTTGCCAACTCATTAGAAGGATTAAAGTAGAGGAGATATACACAAATTTAAAAATTATGTGTGATACTAAACTTAAGATAATTTTAAAAATCACAGATCATGAAAAAAAAATTTTCCCCAAAACACAATAAATACTGACCTTTAATTAATCATCTTCCCACAGTCTCAAACTCTCTGACCACTTCACCTCCCTCCCTGCTTCAAACGCTTCTGGCCCCTCCAAATCCCCAGTGCCTGGGTGACAAAGCACCACCTGCCTCCCTGTCTTATATTTTATCACTCTCAGCTTTAGTCATGGGCATTTTCTCAGTCCCTTGACCTTACTCAGGCTAGCATCCAGGCTTTGGGCCAAGCTGCTCTCTCTGCTTGGACTTCCCTTTCCCATCCCTCTCACTCCAACTCCTACTCATCCCTCAAGTCTTAGGGCAGATGCTGAAGGACACACCTTCCTCTATGTTCCCCTGATACCCTGGACGTCTCCCACCACTTTTGTCATCATCTGACTTGTTTTCCTCATGAGCCAAGGAGTCCCATGAGGGCAATGACTGTGTTTCCTTCATGACCTTATTCCCCAAACATTGCCTGGCACTGACCAGATGCTCCATAAATACTTACTGATGAATGAATGAATGGTCTTGCTGTTGCCACTTAAATCTAACAGTTACCAGACTTTTCACTTGCACAGATGAGGAAACCGGGGTCCAGAAAGGGGTCTCTGATGACGCAGGAAAAATCAAACTCAGTTTCTCCTGCACTCTCACAACACAAAATAGTTCCGTGGCCTCGGATGGGGAAGGGCTTTACCCACACACCAAGTAAGTAGTCCTTCAGCAGCCGACTCCAGTTGAGTGTCCCTAGTTCAGCTCAATTCTGGCATTGTCTACCTAGAGGCAGCATCAGATCCCACAGGTTGAGGGCTCAGTCCCACAAGATTGTCCCCCACTTCTGATGTCAATCACAAGCCCCAGGTTGTTGCAGTTGTGCTTCTGATTGGCCAACTATATATTAGGATCCCAAATCTGTTTCCTAGATTTGTTAGGTTCATCTGCAGCAGGAACCCAGAAGTGCCTCCTGCCAGCTCACAGAACTCAGGGAAACACTAATGCTTACCAGTTCATTATAAAGGATTTTACAGCTATAGATGCAAAGGATGCATATGGTAAAGTGGGGGGAAGGGGACAGGGCTTTCACACCCTCCCTGTATACACCACCTTCCAGGAACCTCCACATGTTCTGCTACCTGAAAGTTCTCCAAACCCTGGCTTTTAGGGTTTTTATGGAGGCTTCATTATGTAGGCATGATTGATTAAATCATTAGCCAGCAGTGATGAACTTAGCCTCGGCCCCCCATCAACCCTCTAATTAGATTATAAAGTCCCAACCCTCTAATCCTGCCTGGGTCTTTCCAGTGACCAGCCCCCATCCTGAGCTACCTAAGAGCTGCCAGCCATCAGTCATCTAATTACCAAAGAAAAATACATTTATTACTTTGGAGATAAGGATTTTAGGACTTGTATGCCATGAAATGGGACCAAATATGTATTTATTTGTGATACTGTGAAATATACATTTGGCCTTAAAATATCAGCTACATATTTCACAGTATCACAGGGTCCAAGCCTGCTTAGCTGCCAGGGTCATGGACCAAGTCCCGGGCCTATGAGGCTGCATCAGGAGTCACCACCACCATCCAACCCTCTTCCATCAAATGGAGCATGTGCTCTGCCCAGCCAGGAGCCCTGAGTGCCTCATCTGGCTCTGCCCCAAAGCTTTCTGGACCCTGGGCTCACTTGTTCATGAGTGCTGGGTATGAAGAAAACCCTTGGCCACTAACCAGATGCAAAGCAGTCAGGGTGGGCTGGGGTAGGGAGGTAACCAGTCGGGGGCTGAGTTTGAGCCTAGCTCAGTAGTGGAGCAGGCACAGAAAAAGTCCTATGACCATCATGGAAAATAGGGGGCGGGAGGGAAGGAACAACTGCTTTAGATTAAAATGAATAACAACAATATGCGATACGTGAACCTTGATCCTGGCTTTAAAACATCACAGCTCTAAAAGTCATTTTGGTGACAAGAGGAGAAACTGAAATGAACCTCAGTTCTCATGACCCTTCAGAGCCTCTCCTAACTGAAGACACACTCCTGTATCAGTACACCACCATTATCCTCCTCTGATGGAATACAGACCTTACTGATTTGCTTCTTGTCTACCTCCCTCCCTGAGCCCTAGGGATTTTTGTTTACCTTGCTCACTGGTACCTCTCCAGAGCCTGGCACACAGTAGGTGCTCCATAAATACCTTGCTAAGTGAATGATCACTGTACATACGGAGGTGACAAAAAAAGTATACACATTTTAAGAGATGCTATTGTTTTTCGCAGCCACCGCCATACCACTGTGACTCTCCAACGCCAGCACTGCCTCTAGCTCGTTGAGCTCCAGCCGAAGGAGAAGGGGTTAGTTAAGTAAGGAGGTCACTATACCATGGCTCCTACAAAGCAGACTGCCGGTAAATCAGCCTGTGGTAAAGCACCCAGGAAGCTACTCGCTACAAAAGCCGCTCGCAAGAGTGCACCCTCTACTGGAGGGGTGAAGAAACCTCATCGTTACAGGCCTGGTACTGTGGCACTCTGAAATTAGACGTTATCAGAAGTCCACTGAACTTCTGATTCGCAAACTTCCTTTCCAGCGTCTGGTGCGAGAAATTGCTCAGGACTTCAAAACAGATCTGCGCTTCCAGAGTGCAGCTACTGGTGCTTTGCAGGAGGCAAATGAGGCCTATCTGGTTGGCCTTTTTCAAAACACCAACCTGTGTGCTATTCATGCCAAACGTGTAACAATTATGCCAAAAGACATCCAGCTATTACGCCGCATATGTGGAGAGCATGCTTAAATCCACTGTGATAGGAAACATTTCATTCTCAAAAAAAAAAAATCTCTTCTTCCTACTATTGGTAGTTCTGAACGTTAGATTCCTCCCTCCATGGGGTCAGAAGGTACCCAAGTATATAATTGTGAGTGGAAAAATAGGGGACAAAAATCAGGTATTGGCAGTTTTTCCATTTTCATTTGTGTGTGAATTTTTAATATAAAAGCAGGGATGTAAAGCATTAATGCAAGTCAAAATGAACAAAGTGAACAAGTTTTAGCAGTTCAACTTTATAACAATTATAAGCAAACCTGTTTAATTTTTCTGAAAAAAAAAAAAGAGATGCTATCTATGTATTACTTTTTGAAGTTGAATTAAATTATGGTAGCGATGTGTAGAATGACGTTTGCTCAGCTGGGCTTCCACCATTTTATTTGACTGTCCTGCCCATTGCATAGTGACGCTAGCTGTCCTGTCACATGGTGACACTAGCATTCATTTGATTAATGCCATCTTTTGAGTGAATGCCCTACTTAAAATGTGTATACATTTTTTGGCACTCCTGAATGATTCTACAATTTGCCCTTTTCATCTTACAATAAGTTTCTAGATTGATCCAGGTTAATAACCATTGCACTGGTTTTATTCATTTGACCTGCTGTTAGTATTGCATCATATGATTCACACCTTATTTTTTTCATTTTCCTAAAGATGAATATTTTCAGTCTTTCACTTTCCAAGCAATGCTGCCACAAACATTTTCATATGTATCTAAGAATTTCTCTAGAATTAGCATCTGGGAGTGGAATCACTGAGTCAAAGGCCATGCACATCCTCAGCTTTACCAGATATGGCAAAATAGCTCTCCAAAGTGGTGATACCAATTTACACTCCCACACGCTCCTGTTTCACCACATCCTTACCAACACAGTGTTGTCAGATTTTTGTGTATTTTTTTGTTTATCTAATGGGGAGGTACAGATTACATTTTTAAAATATAATATAAAGTTTACTGAGCATTAATTTGACCAGAAACTGTGCTAAAGCCTTTATGTGCATTATCTCGAATAGTCTTTGCAACAATTCCATGAAGCACCACCCCCATTGTAGAGAGGAGAAACTGAGGCTCAGGGTTGAGCACCTTGCTAAGGTTGCACAGCAGATACAGAGTGAAACTGTCACTGAACCACAATGACCAGAACCACAGCTTGCCTCTTAACCACGTCTCTCATGCCTCCTATCTTCAATTTTTTATTTTTTTGTTTTGAAATTTTCTATATTAAGCATGTGCTGCTTTTGTAAGAAACCAGAGGCTTTATTCACCGCCCCTGCCCAGGCAGTGGAGCAAAGGGAAACCTGGTCAGGACTCCACAAACTGGCCTGGGGCACACAGTCCCTCTCACGCCTTCTGTCTGTCTCCTGTGTGCCCTTCTGAAAGAGAAAGGAGCTTCTCCCCAGACTGAGAGGGGGAGAGTGCCTTCTCTGGGGCCCATCTCAGGCTCTTGGGAAGCTGCCTCAATCCTCAGGCCCCTGCCAGCTAGCCCCACTCACCATGTCTGGTTGGTGCTGGGGTCTCGGTGCAGAAGGGAACTCAGCACAAAAGGTGTGTCTCCCTCGGGTGTAACCCAGGGCCGGGCCACATCCAAATTGAAGGCTTCTAGGGAAGCCAGGCCTGTGGGGAAAAGGGGAACATTTCATGAAAGAGTCCTTTTAGCTCCCATTACCTGTGGTGTCATTAACCCCATTTTACAGCTGAGAAAAATGAGGCTCCTCAGGAATCTTTTTTCATGAGAGTGGTACTGGACACAAGTGTATCTGACCCACAGCCTCTTCTCCTCCTACCAAACCAAGCTGCACCAGCACCAGTCTCCTCCTCCAAGAGCCTTCCCTGGCTCTCCCTGAAAAAGTGCTTCCTACCTCCTACTGTCACTTTCTGTATCTGTCACAAAGCACATAGTCATCACTATGTTTTGTACCAAAATTGGACTATGAGCCCCCAAAAGAGGGCCTGCATATTTTCTGTCTATGAATCCCTCTTCAAGTGACCCAAGAGAAAACATGTTCTCAAAGCTAACTGAACAAGAATGTTTTATAGCAGTTTTATTTGTAACAGGCCCAAACTGGAAACAACACAAACGTCCATCAACAAGAGAATGGATAAACTAACTGTTGCATATTCATACAACAGAATACTACTCACGAGTAAGAAGAAATGAATAACTGGTACACACTGTACGTGGGTGTATCTCAAAAATCATTATGCTGAGTAAAAGAAGCCTTACATTAAAGAGTATCTACTGTATAATTCCATTTATATGGTGGTTAGAACCAACAAAACTAATCTATAGTTTTTAAAAAATTGCTTGGAGGAATGGGAGTTAACTGGGAAGGCATTAGAAGAGGTGATGGATGGAAATATCCTATATCTTGATAGGAGTTTGGATTACAAAGGTGTGTACATTTGTCAAAATACACTGAATGGTCCACTTGGAATTTGGGCATTTCACTGTATGTAAATGCTACCTTTTAAAAAAAGAGACAAACTTTGAACACTAGTTGATACGTATGCTGAAATGTTTAGAATTGATGTATACAAGATGTCTGCAATTTACTTTGAAATGCATCAAAATATAAGGTGGCTTGATGGATAGATAGATATATGTGACAAAGCAAATATTAAAAGTGTGGACAATTGTAAAATCTAACTGTAGTATGTTGCTGCCCACTGCACAATTTTTCAAATTTTATACATATTTGAAATTTTTCATTAAAACTTTTGAGGAAAGACTGATATTGACAGATTGTCCCCAAAAGAAGCTGTGCCAATTCGTGCTCCAACAACAGGATGTTTCCCCACAACATTGCTTGAACTGTGTGCTGATATTTCATCTTTGTTTTAAGAATAGCCCATCATCTTGTTCTAAAACTATTTTTAAATTATGAGGGAGGTCAAAATCCCTTTTTATAAGTTTGTTTACTGCCTACTCATGTCCATTATCCATTTTTGTGAACAGATATTATTTCCTTATTCATTTGTAAGAGCTTTTCTACATCCTAGAGAAATTGGCAATGTGTTACAGATACTGTTTCTCACTTAGCTAGTTGTTATTTGAAATGTATATGATATTTCCCCCACATCTACATCCACACCTACATTTTTTATGTAGTCAGGTTGGCTTCCTTGGGTTGACTCGAGTTTTGTTGGCTTCCCTATTCAGGATTTTTTTTTTTTAGTAGAAGTATCACTCTGTTGCTCAGGCTGTAGTACAGGGCATGCTCACGGCCATCGCAGTCTCGACCTGCTGGGCTCAGGCGATCCTGCCACCTCAGCCTTCCAAGTAGCTGGAACTACAGGCACATGCCACCACACCTGGCTAATTTTTTTGATTTATTATAGAGATGAGGTCTCGTGGAGTAGCCCAGGCTGGTTTCAAACCGTATAGGCGTGAGCCACCATGCCCAGCCTCAGATTTTTTTTTTAAAATTCACTCATAGTTCCTTCAATATCTTTTTCTTGTTTCATTTCTTTGGTTCGTCTGGATTTTCTTTTTATATATGGGGTGAAATTGGGATCCAGTTTTACTTTTTTCCCCCAAATGAGACTGCTTCAACATTACTTCTTGAATAGTTCATCTTATCCCCATAGTTTTGAAATGCTATCTTTATCATACTCTGAATTCTTATGTGCATTTAGTCCTCTGTCAGGACTTGCTTCTGCCCACTGTCTCTTGCTTAGACATGTTAGTCTCCTGGCCTTTGTCTTTCAACACTCATACCTCTGGAAACATCCTCTCTACACTAGCTGCCAGAGAGATTTTTTTGAAAACATGGTCTGACCATGCAACCCCACTGTTTAAAACTCTAATGTACATCTATATGGGAAAAAGCAAGATGAAGCTCAGTTTACAGACTTACCTGTCAACTGTTATTCACTTAATGACTTTAGCCATAATGGCTCTTGGAAAGATATACTACATTTTGATAACACCCCCTTTTTTTTTTTAGTATGACTTTTTCATCTCTAAATACAGGTCTAAACATGCTATAAGGAAGGATATTTGATATCATACTTTCAGGAAAAGACACATTCACCAATTTATTTACTGTAACAGTTTCTAATCAAAGAAATATGAAACAAATCTGTATTGTGTTTCATGTTTGGATGAACCCAAATGCCTTATTTTGTGTATGTACACCAATTGAGAGGGTTGAAGATTCTATGATTCTGCTGCCAGTTGGGTGCACAAGTTACTTCCATGTGTTTTGAAGTGCTTTCAGGTTTACCGTTTATTTTGATCTCAAGATATTTCTCTGTGCTTTAGCTTTATTTTATTTTTTTTGAGTTGGAATCTCACTTCGTCACCCAAGCTGGAGTGCAGTGGCACACTCTCCAATGTTGACCTGCTGGGCTCAGGCAATCCTTCCACCTCAGCCTTCCAAGTAGCCAGAACTACAGGCGTGTGCTACTATGCCCAGCTAATATTTTTTGATTTATTGTAGAGATGAGGTCTTGCCAAGTTGCCCAGGCTGTTCTCGAACCCATGGGCTCAGACTATCCCCTCACCTCGGCCTCTCAAAGTGCTTGCATTATAGGTTTGAGCCACCACGCCCAGCCTAACTTTATTTTTAAAGGTTGTCTGAATGCAAGGTATCCATGAGTTCCCCAAAAGTTGAAAAAAAATTGCAGAAACAGTGCAGAAAGAAAAATATACCTTCTCAATGAATGACTGCCTCATACCCATCCTCTACTACCCACTATGACGTATTGCCTTCCTCCTTTATTGAGGACAATAAACCTTCACTATAATACATTGTATAGGCAAACTATATTTTTACAATCAAATTATTGTTTTATTTATATAAACTTGTCTTATTGGTCAATTAATACATTTTTCTATCAGTAAAAACCGTTGGTAACCTAGGTTGAATGGAATGTATCACAATTTTTCTACTGAAATTGATGGAATTGTTTTTTCCAATTAATGGCTTTTTACTGAGCAGTAGAGATTTCAGGAACAAATCAAAATTGTTACACGAAAGACAAGTGGATAAGTTACCCTAATTTTGGTATAAGGAAGAGAAGGAAATATACACACACAAATATGTTGTTCTTCATTTGCTAGGAAGATATAACAATTTAAAATCTGTATGTAGGCCAGGCATGGTGGCTCATGCCTATAATTCCAGCACTTTGGGAAGCAGAGGTGAGAAGACTGCCTGAGACCATGGGTTCAAGACCAGCTTGGGCAACTTGGCAAGACCTCGTCTCTACAATAAATAAAAAAATTAGCCAGGCATGGTGGCTCACGCCTGAAATTCCAGCTACTTGGAAGGTTAAGGAGGAAGGATTGCCTGAGCCAAGCAGGTCAAGGCTATGGTGGCCATGACCGTGCCACTGCACTCCAACCTGGGCAACTGAGTGAGACTCTGACTCAAATAAATAAATAAATAAATAAAATCTGTATGTATCCAATAACATCTCTCAAAATATAAAGGTAAAAATTAGCTGAATTAAAAGGAAAAATACAAAACACCACAACCAATGTGGGAAACTTTAATACTTTAACAAACCTTTCATGTTAGCTATAAAAGCAGACCAAGAAATGAATAAAGATATGGAAGATCTGAACTGACAAACAGAACTCTGTGCCCAACAATGAAAAAATAAAAATAAAAGGTACACATGAAATATTTATCAAAATTGACCATATGCTGGATCACAAAACAAGCTGAAATAAATATCAGCGAATTGAAAAGATTCAGAATATGTTCTCTAATAATAGTGGAATTAAAATAAATAACAAAAAAGCTAGCAAAACTTAACTTCTTGGAAATTAGGCAATGCACTTCTAAATAAACCAGGGTCAAAGATGAAATCACAATGGAAATTCTAAAATATTTTGAACTGAATAAGAATTAAGATATGACAAATCAAAACTTGTGGGATATAGTTAATGCAATGCTTAGAGGAAATATACAGCCTTAAGTTCATATGGGTTTTTTGTTTTGTTTTTTGAGTCAGAGTCTCTATTGCCCAGGCTGGAGTGCAGTGGCAAGCTCATGACCACCACAGCCTCCACCTGCTGGGCTCAGGCGATCCTTCTGTCTCAGCCTTCCAAGTAACTGAAACCATAGGTGCGCACCATCATGCCCAGCTAATTTTTTTATTTATTGTAGAGACACGGTCTCGCCAAGTTGCCCAGGCTAGTCTCAAACCCCTGGGCTCTGGCAATCCTCTCACCTCCGCCTCCCAAAGTGCTGGATTATAGGTGTGAGTCACCGCACCCAGCTAAGTTCATATGTTAAAAAAAAAAAAGCTGAAAATCAGTTACCTGAGCTTCCATTTTAAAGAAGCTAAAAGAATGGCAAGTCTGACTCAAAGGAAATACAGGGAATTAAGATGTGCGCATGAGCCGGGCTCAGTGGCTCAGCCTGTAATCCCACGCATTCGGGAGGCTGAGGTGAGTGGATTGCCTGAGCCCGGGGGTTCAAGACCCGCCCGAGCAGGTGAGACCTCATCTCTACAATAAAATAAAAAAATTAGCTGGGTGTGGTAGCGCACGCCTGTAATTCCGGCTACTCGGAAGGCTGAGGCGGAAGGATCGCCAGAGCCCAGCAGGTCGAGGCTGCGGTGGCCGTGAGCAGCCACTGCACTCTAGTCTGGGCGACAGA